GCGGTGATGTTGTGGGCCCAGGGACGGTGATGGTGTGGCGGTGATGTTGTGGGCCCAGGGACGGTGATGGTGTGGCGGTGATGTGTGGGCCCAGGGACGGTGATTGGGGTAAACGTTTACAAAATTAATCAACAAATTGGGGAAATTTCAAAATGATCACAACACGAAGCCTTACACAACACGCACCACACGTAGGAAGCATTGCACAGTGACATTAAATCAAACATGGTGCCAAAAATAACGGCCAACAACATGGAAGGTTCACATGGTTTGTACTGACCCAGCGCCGCACTGTCGCAGGGTCAGTGCTGAGGGAGCGCTGCACTGTCGGAGGGTCAGTGCTGAGGGAGCGCCGCACTGTCGCAGGGTCAGTGCTGAGGGAGCGCCGCGCTGTCGGAGGGTCAGTGCTGAGGGAGCGCCGCACTGTCGGAGGGTCAGGGCTGAGGGAGTGCCACACTGTCGGAGGGTCAGTGCTGAGGGAGCGCCGCACTGTCGCAGGGTTAGTGCTGAGGGAGCGCCGCACTGTCGGAGGGTCAGTGCTGAGGGAGCGCCGCACTGTCGGACGGTCAGTGCCGAGGGAGCGCCGCACTGTCGGAGGGTCAGTGCCGAGGGAGCGCCGCACTGTCGGAGGGTCAGTGCCGAGGGAGCGCCGCACTGTCGGAGGGTCAGTGCTGAGGGAGCGCCGCACTGTCGGAGGGTCAGTACTGAGGGAGAGTGGACAGATCTGCTGCATATATTGCACAAGTTACAGTTTGTAGGAGACCACTCCTGTCACAGGAGCTAGTTTTCATGTCCATTTCAGGGAGAAATGTTTGCCACATTTTGTAACTGTCTGCCTGGTTGGGACATTATAACTGTCATTAACCTGCTGGGAGCTTTGCAATTGGCAGAACCGTTGGGAGTTGGAAATTGAGCAGCATCTGTGGCTTTGCAACATCTTCAGGAGGAGTTTCTCAAATCTTCCTCAACTCAGAGTTATTGGTGGGTACATCTGGTTACTTCAAATCTCACGACGGCAGTTGATGGAATTTGAATTTTGTAAATCAATTAGCAATTGAGTCCCTAGTTTATTCTGAACCCATTGTCGATTGTTGGAAACACTAAATGTCTCAGTAATGTCCTTTAGGGAAGGAAACTGCCATCCTTACCTGGTCTGGGCCTACATGTGACTCCAGACCCACAGCAATGTGGTTGACTCTTAACTGGGCAATTAGGGATGGGGCAATAAATGCTGGTCTGGCCAGCAATGTCCTTCATCCCGTGAATGAATAAATAAAAGACAGTCCTTTGAGTAAAGAGTTAACACAGCGTGGAGCTGGAGGGACACAGCAGACCAGCAGGAAAGCTGATGTTTCGGGTCGTGATCCTTGGAGTAGGCCGTGACTGCGGGTTGGGGGGTGGCTGGGTATATGCCATGGTCCGAGACTGTGACCCAGTTTGGTGTTGTTTGTCAATGGCACACAGAGAGAAACAGAGAGAGGGACCTGAACAGCGTTAACCGTGATAAGAAGGTGTGAAAATTGCGACATCCTGTTGGAAGGCAAACTGAAAAACAAGTTTGCTCACAGGATGTGTCGATTTTGCTTTCAGAAGGTAGTCTTGCTCTTCAACTCCTCAGGCACATGTCAGTGACAGTTGACTGGACGCACAGCCTGTGAATTGTAGAGTCATAGAGCTCAGTGACAGGCCCTTCGGTCCAACTCGTCCATGCTGACCCGATATTCCAAATTAATCTAGTCCCATTTGCCAGCATTTGGCCCATATCCCTCTAAACCCTTCCTGTTCATGTACTCATCCAGATGCCTTTTAAAATGTTGTAATTGTACCAGCCTCCACCACTTCCTCTGGCAGCTCGTTCCATACACGCACCACCCGCTGTGTGAAAAAGTTGCCCCTTAGGTCCCTTTTAAATCTTTGCCCACTCACCTTAAACCTATGCTCCTCTAGTTTTGGACTCCCCTACCCCAGGGAAAAGACCCTGACCATTCGCTCTATCCATGCCCCTCATGATTTTATAAACCTCTATAAGGTCACCCCTCCAATGTTCCAAGGAAAACAGCTCCAGGCTATTCAGCCTCTCCCTATAGCTCAAACCCAGCAGCGTCCTCGTAAATGTTTTCTGAACCCTTTCAAGGTTAACAACGTCTTTCCTATAGCAGGGAGACCAGAATTGAACGCAATATTCCAAAAGTGGCCCTAACCAATGTCCTGTACAGCCGCAACATGGCCTCCCAACTCCTACACTGATCAATAAAGACAAGCGTACCAAATGCCTTCTTCAGTACGGACAAGATGGGCCGAAGGGTCTGTTTCTGTGCCCTATGACTCTATAGCACTGATGGGGGAACCTGGGAGCCAGCAGAGAACGTAACCATTGGAGCCATAACCTGTCAGGAGTGAAATTAGAAACATTTTCCCCACACACAGGGTGGGTAAGCGTTGGGAAATCCCTCCCACAAAACACTTTGGGTTCACTTGCTCATTTTAAATGTTGAGAGGTTTGTTGCCAGGTCAATGGGACACACAAATAAGGCAAAATTTAGGTCTGCCCAGAGAGAGAGAGAGAGGAATTAATCCAGGTGAAGATAGAGGTGGGGAAAGTTTAGGAGAAGGGAGCGAATGGCCTACTCTTGCTGTACTCTCCCACAGTTCAGGGAAGCGAGCGCACATGGAGCTTCCAGAATGGGGATTCTCCCTCGCACTCCAGATCACAGGGAGATTGGATGAATTGGACACACATTCGCTCACGGCCCAAATCGCTGAATGACATTGGAAGTGCGATGTCATAAGACCATAAGGATATAGGAGCAGAAATTATGCCCTTCGGCCCATCGAGTCTGCTCCGCCATTCAGTCATGGCTGATAAGTTCCTCAACCCCATTCTCCTGCTTTCTCCCCGTAACCCTTGATCCCCTGGATAATCACGAACCTATCTATCTCCGTTTTAAATGTACTCAATTAGATTGTGGTTTTATTCGGGCTGTCTAACCACACTCCAACACAGGGACACGTTGCTTCAAACGCTGATTTCACTGATTGCACAGTCAAACAGTTGTGTGACTCACAGTCCCTAACACAGAAGAACAACATCGACAGCAGAGCACAGCATTGGAAGAGGGTCAGTGCTGAGGGAGCGCCGCGCTGTCGGAGGGTCAGTGCTGAGGGAGTGCCGCACTGTCGGAGGGTCAGTGCTGAGGGAGCAGGGCACTGTCGGAGGGTCAG